TATAAACTTATACCTTCTGCTTACCTTACCACGCTTTTAACCTTTAAAGCGACCCTAAAGAACTGCCTATAACAATATCACAACTAAGTTATAACTCAAATAAAATTTAAAAACAATTATAGTAACCATCTTTAATCCTGTCAAATCTTATATTTTATATTTAACTAACTAACCCTAATTCATATCCTAACTTAATCCAAATCTGACCTAATCTAACTCTAATCCATATTCTAATCTCACACTAAGATTACTTATTTTAAACTCATTTTAGATTTGACTAAAAATATCTAAATCTTTAGTTTTGCTAAATTTTTACTAAATGTTGATATAGTTTTGTCATTTTTATAAGATTTGATATAGTTTTACCTTTTTCTGAATTTCATATATTTTTTAATAAGGTTTTAATATAATTTAATTAAGTTTACCTTTACTATTTAGACGTCTGTATAAACTCTAAATTCTATCTAACAATCTTATTCTACATCCTAATTCTATATCCTAATTCTAACCTTAATATGTCAGGATTTTAGCTATCAGAATTTTGAATTATTCAGATTTTTGTTTGTTAGATTTATGAACTATTAGGATTATGCTCTTATCAAGATTTTTGAATATCAGATTTTAGATTATTCAGAATTATGATATTAGAATTCTAAACGATTATAGTTGATAAGATTTTTGAAAGAACCTATTAGTAATATAATCTAAACATTTGACTAAATATTATGCCTTAAAGTGTTAACTTCTATGTTAAAATAATAAATTATAGAAATATTAAGATTAAAATTCTTTTTATTAATTTGTTCATATATGATAGAACTAGTTATTGAATTTCAAAGATAATGTATTCTCTTTTACTATTTAATTGATAAATTTTCAAATTATAAAAGAAGAGTTTAAGTTTAATCTATAATTTAATTTAAGAGATCTATTTAGAGAATTAGAAATGACTGAATTAAAAATAATATTATTTAAGAAATAATAGCATAGCTATAATTAGCAGTTAATTTAAAAAAAGCAAAATTTTTTTGTTATAAGTTATTTTATATAAGAGAAAATTGTTTAATAAGTTTAAAATTTATCCTAAAAGCTATATAGTATATAATATTATACAGAAAGTATTTTTCTCCTAATATTTAATTTTTTAAAGTTTTTTTTTTGATAATAGGTTTAAATTCATCAATTATAAAGTAAAAAATACTGAGTTGAGTACATATTAAGTTTTATGTAAAGAATGATCATAAGTACATATTTATGAATAAAAGGAGAGAATAGTAATATTATATTAGTTTGTGCTTAAAAAAGATGAATTCTAAATATATTATAATAAATAACTTGTGAGTTAAATTGATTGAGAATAGAAGTGGCATAAGATTTGAGTTATAAGAACCAAAAGATTATTGAGTTCATAGATTTTGTCATTATAAAGAAAAGTAGAAGATAATATAATAGTAAAGCAATCTATTTGTTAGTAAGAAGTTTAAGTCTCATAACAGTAGTAAAATTGTTGATATTTTTTGTAAACTTATGATTTGATAAAAGTTTGTGATCTTAAATAATTAATTTATGATTTGCCGATCATAGAATGTTGATCATATATGTAGATAATAATTAAAGTGAGAATAATTAATATATTTGAACAAATATACTTGTAACAATCTAATAACATGTTATTAAAACTTGGATCTTTTTTAAAAGTTAATTATATATTAAAACATCAGAAGAGAGTGGAATAAAAATTAAATAATATTACCTCTTTCAAATTAGCATGAAAATACAAATTATACTAAAAAACTGATCTTTTATAATTCGAGTTGTTTAAGGAAATAAGTATAATAATTTGTTACTAGGATTTTTATATAAATCCCTATTAAAGTCTAATAACAAAGTTGAAAATAATCCTACAACCGCTATTTTAAAACTGTACAAAAAAATATTTAATACTGAAACACGTTTTTCTGAAGTATTAATAATAGGTATAGATGACAATAACATATTTTATTTTTTAAACTGTTAATAAAAATGGATGCTCTGTTGTATTTACAAAAAAAAACCAATTTTTGAGAAATATTATGAAACAGATCCTAATAGCATGTGAGAAAAAATAGGTATATTAAAAAATGGCCAGAAATTACTTTATTTAGCTTAGATAATTATAGTGTAAAAGAAAAATTAGAGCAAACAAAATAATTGTTATGTTTTCATGATGAATAACATGATTATTCAAAGATTGATCAAATATTCAGATATCATTTGCAAAAAAGAACATACAGTTAGGTTAATTGGTATCTATTGTTTCAGAAATGAAGAAAAAATGATTGTCAAATAATTGAATTACATAGCCAGTTAGCTTTATTATATTCAGATGGTTATATTTTTTCTGAAAGAAAAATTTGAGCATAATAAGTAATGTTATATGCTACTGGATATATCAATATAATACTATTTGGTAAGGAAGAATCAGAGGTAGGCTATTGTTTTATTAGATTCTAGATTATTGGTTGTAAAAGAATTGGTGATAAAGAATTGATGTGATATTATAATGGTGATAGCATGATGGTGATAGTAGTATCATGATACAATATGATAGTATAACTTTGTGATGTATACTTACTTGGTGATGTAAATTCTGTAATGTTTTATTATATATAAAGATAATTATTCAACTTATTAAAAATTTCTTTACTAAATTATATAGTATGAATTTTGACTTGATTATTTGATCCTAAATTAGATAAAGCAATAATCAATATGCTCTACTAAAATGGTTCTTTACAAACAATACCAAAGCATATGTTTAATGTTACAGAAGTATTTTGAAAAAGTTTTGAGCATAGTTTGAGTTTAAATAAATATAGTGCTAATAGAAAACAAAGAATACTTTTAATTATTGCAGATAAGTTTTTTTTATAAGGAATTACAAATTAGATTTCATGTAAATATTTTATAATATTCAAATAGCCTTTTCTTTAGCTAATTTATTATCATTTTATAGATTTTTTCACAATGCAAAAATACATAAACATGTATTTGGTAATAAGTGTTTAGCTGTACCTAAACCACCAATATAAAAAAAAATTATGTTTCAAGAATATGAAGATCAATTTAAATTATTCATGAATAGTAAGGAGAATGTAAATTTAAGCTCTTACAAGGTTGATACTAAAACAGAATTACCGCTAAAAAGATATAAAATGTATTTTTTTATTTTGTAAATATTTGAAACTAAATATCAAAAATTATATAACTTAGACATATTTGCTTAAAAATATTGAAATTTCTAAATGATTTCTTAAATGTGATTATTCAAAATATTTGCATGTAAGTTATGATGGAATAATATCACATGATTCTTGCATCAATTATTGCTTACTATTTGTATTTAGTAATAATTATAATGAAAAACATATATTAGAATATGCTGAATGCAATGAAATATTCAATTTATTTAAGGAATTATAATCATTACTTGAAGATGAATAACATAAAATATTAAAGAACTTCAAAAAATACTGAAATACTATTATGCATATTTAACTTAAAAGGAATATTTAAACAGTCAAATTAATACCAATTTTTTGCAACTTAATAATGATAGTATTTTATAATAGTTGATTACAAAATGTGAATACTTCTAAAACAAGTTAAGAAACAAAACAAGATTTCTATGTAAAATGTGATTGGGCATTACATAGTATTTTGGTATATTATAAAAATCCAAAAAATAATGAATTATAAATTTATAGTTTACTGCCTCATCTTTTGATACTGTATTTATCTTACTAATTCAAAACTAAAATGGGTTATCATAATAAGTGATAATGATTCACATTATCATTGTTCTGAAACAATGGCACTGGTTTCTAAATAGGCAGAATAGTATAATATCAAATGTAAAAAATAGTGTTTTCTGGAAGCAGAAAAAGCCAAAATGTCAATCAAAAGTCATTACAATCAAACCTTGATATAGCGAACTCTTGATATAGCGAATTTTTAAATCAAATATATTAAAATTACCTTACTATAGTGAAGTAACCAATTAAATTCTTTAAAAAATTCGTTATAAGCTTATAACGAAGTTGATATCCAGATCGTAGAATTTGTTATATCAAGAGTTCACTGTAACTGCCATTATGGCTTCAGTTTTATTAAGAAAACTTAGTAATAACTGCCATCACAGCTTTGGTTTTACTAAGAAAACTTAGTAATAACCATCATCGCAGCTTCAGTTTTATAGTAATAACTGACATTGCAGCTTCAGTTTTATTAAGAAAATTTGTAATAACTGCTATTGCAGATTCAGTTTTACTAAATAACTGCCATCTCAGTTTCGTAACAATTTTATTAGTAAAAAAATGTTTTTTAAGCTGAGAACACATTTTTTTACTAGGTTTCTTAATAAAATAGCATCTTTAAAGCTGCGAAGGCATGTTTTCTTAGTAAAATATTGTCTCTGAAGCTGCAAAGGTGTTTTTTACTATGATTCTTAGTAAAATAACGTCTCTGAAGCTGTGAAGACATTTTTTACTATGTTTTCTTAGTAAAAAAACATTTTTGAAGCTGTGGAGGCACTTTTTACTATGGTTTTCTTAGTAAAAAAAGCATTTCTGAAGTCACAGAGGCGTTTTTTACTATGGTTTTCTTAGTAAGAGACATTTCTGAAGCTTTGAAGATGGCTTTACTATTGATTCAAATCAAATCAAATATTTGAATACTTGATTTAAATTTGATCGAATCAAATCAAACATTAATTTGAATTTAATCAAATAAATCATTCTTTGATTTGAATTTGATCAAATATAAATTTGAATTTGTATTTGATTTGATTTTCAAATTAAATATTCAAATATCAAATTGAATTGTGGAACCCTAATAAATATAGTGTAAAACATGTTAGGAATTACTTTTTCTTACAACAGATTCTATTTTATGTGAATGTTCTTTATTTGATTGGATATAAAAAATTTTTTTTATATTATAAACTCTTTTTTTTTATATTCATTTTAATTTTATAATTTTTTAGTTATTAGCTGAACATTCTGACATAATCACTAATATATAAGTTTTTTCTTTATTAAATAATAATGAATTTTTCTCTACTTGTCGAATAGTACAATCAATTTAAAAACTAATAAAAAATATAATAATATAGTAGAAATGAAAATTGCAATATTAGCTGATTGTTTTATATATTTAATTCAATTAGCAGTTGCTATTAATCATCTTCCTTCATCAAATCAATTTAAATATTATATTATAACAATTTTTAATCATCAGTTTATTGAATTTTAACATTCATTATATTTACTTTGTTATTTTTATCATTCACTTTATCGAGGTAAGTTTATTTTTATATTAAATAATATTTAAAATATATATTTTTTAAATATAATTGATTTCTTTTATAAAAATAAGATAAAAATTACAAGACAATAGTTTTCGTGATGCAACTTTAACTGTAATACAACTTTGGCAAGATCTTGAAATTTCAAAATCAGAAGGTTGAGAATAAAGATGGGAACTGTAATTAATATGTTGCAACTTTTAATGTTGCAACTTACGTTGCAATTAGTTTTAACCTATATATGTTGCAACTAATTTTAGCTTATGTTGCAACATTTTGTAAATTTGAAATCAATTGCTGTACCATCTTTAGTTAAGAACTTTTAGGACAGCTTCATCTTTATGAAGTTAAATGTCTTCCTTTTAATTTAGCATATACTCTAAATGATAATACTCCTAAAATATAGTAGAATCTATAAAAAAACCAAGGCATTTAGCTGAACTTGCATAACTTGCATATAGATTATTTTCTATTTCTCCAAGTCAAGCAGCATGTGAATAATTATTTTCAAGTCTTAAATGGATGATAGGAGATTGATATACTAATATCAATATAACAAGATTAGAAGCAATAGCTAAAATCCATTTTTTCTATATGACTAATATAAAAGAATTGAATTATTATAAAAGGAATTAACTGAATCAGATTTATGTGAATGCTCAAATATTTTATCAGTTGCAAATATTTTGGATCTTGAAGAATTAGGGTATAATAATAATAATCATGAAATAGAACTTATTTTACCATCACATAACTTAAAAATTAATGAGATAATTGATTTGACAAATTTTGATACTGAAATAGATATTAATACAAATGAAGATTTACAACAAGATAATTTGAAACCAGTTGATCCAGTAAATTTGGATTATTATCCATAAAGCTTATTAAATTCTTTTTTAAATAAAGAAAACTTAGAAATTCAAATAGTAAATAATAAGTTTAAAAAAAAACTTATTTTGATAAGTTTTTTTTAGAGAGCAAAATTTTCTTTATAATAAAAAAATTAGATTTTGATTATTCTTTTTAGGATGTTTTAAACTATTTTCAGAAAATAGTTTTTTTTGAATTTTTTTGTTATTTTTTATCATATAATTTAGCAAAATAAGGTTTAATTTTTTTTGTAAATAAATAAAATATATTGATATTATTGTCAATGAGTTTATTGATTTTATTAGGATTCTATGAGGGTTTTATTAAGATTTTATTAAGATTTTATATATACAGTATTAAGAAAAAATTTTTAAAGACTTTTTACAAAAATTCCAAATGTAAAATATCAAATGTCATATCTAATTTTGCATATCATATCAATATCACGTTTAATTTTACATGTTATGATATAATGTCATATCTAATTTACATATCGTGACATAATGTCACATCTAATTTTGCATGTAATGTTAATGTCACATCTAATAATATGTATTACATCAAATATCAATTCAATGTTATATGTCACATTCAATATCATGATAAGGCATATGCATAATGAGATAATGTTATTACATTTAACTTTAAGGAAGTTACTTTAAAATTTTTTAAAGTCTGCATCCTTAACTTCACTATAATAAATGTTAGCTTTTAATGAATTTATAGACCTATGTATTACAGAAGCAAATAATTTGCGCAAAAAACTAGGAAGTAATGGCTTATAAGGTTTAGAAATAAATTCATTTTTTTTCAGAAATATACTTAAATATATAGATTCAGGCTTTCCTGGATCCCTTAACTTCCTGAAAATGATTGTTTTCTAAATCCATTTAAGCAATTCTTTTGCCTGTTTCTCATTCTTTTCTAATGATCTAAATACTCGAAAAATGTCTTATACTCCTTAATTTTTTGCATATCCAGTTATACTTCCATTAGATATATGCAAGTTTTAATTTTAGCAAGACAAATATATAGCATAATCATTATATCAGCTAGGGTTTGTTTATCAGATATTAAAGATAGGCATCATAATTAAGAAGTTGTAATTTGGTAAGTTATAACTTGAGTTGCAACTTGATTGCAATTCCTTATAAATTTATTTTAATATAAAAATTCATAAATAGTTGCAACTCTAAGTGTTGTAACTTAAGTTGCAACTAGTTAAAAATTTTTAAAAATAATTATGGGAATCATCTTTATCAGGTATCATAGATACATCATACAAATCTAACATTTTCTTAACTGATTTTAATGAGAAGTGATCTGAATAATGAAGCACTTTATTTTTGTATTGCTCACTATGCTCCTTTTGGATTTTATTAAATGCACTGGTTGTTTCTCAATCTAATATAGCAGAAATTATTTTTTCTGAAGCATTAAGATTTTGCAATTCTTTTTAAAGTCTAGAGAAGTATTATAAGGTGATGACAGAATTAGAAGTAGTTTTATTTAAGGTTCTAGATATTCCTTTTACATTTCTTTTACTAAAATTATCCTAAATAATATACTGAGCTATTTCTTAATAATTTCTCCTTTTGAAGTGTTGGCAATTACTTGACATATATTCACTTTAGCTTTTGATCCTTCTTCTTCATTGATTACTTGTCTTATGTGTTGAACAATTTTCTGATCAGGAATTAATGCAAATGCCTGTTCTTTATTATATTTATATCCTTTTTAAAGATGATTATAAGCCTAATGCCTTTTCTTTCTATCTATCTGTAATATACTAGTTATCAAGAGCTTAAGTATTTCTAATGCATACTATGCTGGCTAAGCTCTTTGAAACTCACCTCTTTAGCATCAGTGAAATTGTGGTCTTTAATAAACTTAGTTGTAATAGCAGACATGATGTGATATGTAGAATATATGTGATAGATAAACTATTTGTAATATTCAGATTATATATTGTGAGAAAAAGTTCAATTCAAAAAAAATCCTTTAATCAGAGATTTTGGAATATGCTTTAACTTTTTTCTAAGTGATTAGTAGAAAAAAAGGGATTTTAGACTTATGTAGCTTTAACCAAGGCATTAAAGCAAAGGAATTTTAAATATCTATAATAAAAGTAACGATGAAGTTTTGAGATTATTAATATCAAAATTACCTCACATGAATCGTCTAATCTGCCAATATATCAAGAAAGATAGTTCAATTTGTAAAAAAGAATACTAACGTGTATCAGAATGTATTAGATATTATAAGCCTATCCTAAAAAATATACACTATCTATAATAAGCTAACTAAATCTTATACTAAAATCTGTAGCACATATGCTGAAATTTATGCCTAAGTAAAAAAACTAAAACAGAATTGGCCCCTTTAGGTTTATCTGATATGATCAAGATTATATATGAAATCGAAATAAAAACCCAAAGTTGAAATAAAAAGTCAAAATGGTCAAAATGACGTCATATCACATGATTTTTATATATAGAAAAAACAAAAAAAAACAAAGATGTACAATCTCAGTCAATATCATACCAATTCATATGAAACAACTACTATTTGATTTATCATGACTAGGCGAATCTAAAGAGCTAATATTTATTGATTTTGGATCAGCCAATCTTGCGATATTTGCGATCAAATTTCAAAATCCAGATTCTTTTATTTAAAGTAGAATTTAATGATTTATAATTTCAGCTGATAATACAATTGTGATTATCTCACAATTGGATGATTCAAAATCAATGAATATTAGCTCATTAGATTCGCCTAGTTGTGAGAAATCAAATGTTTTTTTTGACTTTTAACGATGCAGTACTGCCATAAGTTTATTAATTTTATATTCTATACTAGATAAAATTTACAAAGAAAAATTACAAAGTAGATAAAAATCTAAATAAATGATTATCTTCTGTAGTCCTATTACTAATAAAAACTCAAACCTGTTTAAATTGACTTATCACTAGAATCCCCCTTCAACCCAACCAAAAAACCCATATTTAATGACTGAGCCATTAACAAGAAATTCAAATGAGGTTGTCAATACAGCAACGTAATTTTTAAATATCTTTCGATCACAACTTCTAAATAAAAATTTAAACAAACTAACAACTCTCCTAAGAAGAAAAATAGGTACAAATAGAAATTATTAAAAAAGACTAACAAAACACTATAAAAACCTAAATGTCCAGTTAATTCTGGATAAATGACCACCCGATCAAAGAAGGTGCGTCTAAAGAAAGGTTTAAACAGAGGCTCTTCATACTTATAGATTCATAAATACAGAAAAAATATCACAGATAGTAACCTATACCCTCTACCTGGTTACCAGGAAGGAATAGATCTAGACGAAATGAACTTATACTGAGTAAGCACTATAGCATGACCCTCTGTAGTTCCATTTAAAACCCATTTGAGCTAACAAAAAATACAAAACCAAGTGACAGCTACCATCACACTTTATAGAAGACATCTGAAGACAACAAAGTATGATTCATGTTAAATTTGCATGTGATCTTTGACGATAGAGGATTTGCAGAAAGGCAGAAGCCAATCAAAAGAGAGTATATTATTTAGGAAGGTGAAAGGTGTCATCACATAAGATTTGTTATCCAAAGTATATCGATTATGATTGTCGATTGGAATACCCCTTGATGCTCACTTTTTAGTAGACAAAAAAGAAAAAGAGAAAAATAGAAAAAAAATGGAAAAAAGAGGTGAAGAAAAAATTATTTTAACAAAAAACAACACTGTTTAGACTATTTTGAAAAATTTTATATGGATAGGATGTGAGGAACAAAGAGAGAAATATTTTTGAAAGGTGGGGTTTTTTTTGTTTGCAGGCTAAGTCACAGCTACTGTTGAACAGACACTTTTTTTAAGTAAAAATTCTTGAAAAAAATCCAATAAGAAAGAGAGTGAGGAATCGAATGATAGTTGTTTCATATGAATCAGTGTGATATTGACTGAAATCATACATCTTTTGTTTTTTTGTTTTTTCTATATATAAAAAATCATGTGATATAATGTCATTTCGACCATTTTGACCTTTGATCTCTAATAGTCAAAATGATTTTGAAGAAGTGTCTCGCCGCCCTATATCAGTTGGTAACAACTGAGACTTATTGTAGGTTATACTGCAATAGACCCTAGTTCAGCCCTGGCCAAGGCAGATAATAATAATTTAATTCACAGAATTTACTAGTTCGATTCCAGGAATGAATTTCATAGGGTGCGTACAAACTATGTATATTGAAGATCACGAATTTGTAGAATATGATAACCCTGAGATGTTTATAAGATGTGATGGTAGCTACCACTATACAGTAAACTCTTGATATAACAAATTCTAGGATCTGGATATCAACTTCATTATAAGCTTATAACGAATTTTTTAAAGAATTTAATTGGCTAGTTCACTATAGTAAAGGTAATTTTAATATATTTGATTTAAAAATTTGCTATATCAAGGGTTCACTATATTAATGTTTGACTGTATTGTTGAAGCATCAGTTTTAGGTCTTAATAAGCTTTTAATGTACCGCTTCTGGTATGATTATATGAAAAATAAATATGGGAACAAGGCAAAGCTTGGGTATATGGATACAGACTCCTTTATATTCATGGTTAAGACCAAAGATATTTATAATGATATAGCAGAATGACCAGACCTCTTTGATCTTAATGATTTGAAGACTATTAGACTTTTCAAAAATGAGACTCCAGGAAATGTGATTACTGAGTCATTTCACATTCAGGCAAATCATACCACTATTTCTTAACTGATAAATCATCAAAGTCAAAGCATAAGGGGGTCAGCAAAAAGGATATGAATGAAATAGCAAAGAACATTTATCCTAAAGTAAATCCTCTATGACTCAAGTATATCAGAATTGTCTATTCCAGAAAAGGTATTCTGTGCTAAGAATATATGATTCTGATCAAAAGATCATGTTATATCTCTAGTTGAGTCTAAAAAGAAAGCTCTCTATCTCATAGA